GTATAAATCAGTTGAAGTTTGTTCATTTCAACGAAATCATGTCTCAGATCCACGAATGGGCGGAGTCCGCCATCTTTCTTTGGTACCAGAAAATAACGACTGTAGAAGCCACTCTCGCGATCTGCAAGGGGCACTGTCTCTACAGCACGTTTTGCAAGTAGGTTGTGTATTTCCTCTCGCAGAACTGAGGCATTCTGCTCCCGTACAGTGGACATTAACACACCGTTGAAACGGGGCGGTCTGCAGAAGAACTGAAGCATGTAGCGATACGCTTTGGCAAGAAGTGGCTAATGGCTTTCGACTGTTTTTGCACTTCAACAAAAAGCGTTCCGTGAAAGTCTACACCGCCGCCATGAGGGGTTCATGGGTGCATCCAGATGGGCAGTCTTATTTGAGTCTTTTAACTCTGAGTAAGCCACAGGTGACGATCTAGCACCACAAGATTTCCCATGTTTCCCAGTCAATCGCTCGAGCTGTCACCTTCGTCGCTCTAAGGGCCAGATCCATGGCACGTCGGAGCTCTTTGAAAACTTCAGGGTCCAGCCCGCCTTGAGCAGTTTAGCCTGATAGACCTCGAGGATTGCCATCACATGCAGTGCTGAAGCTGCTTTGAACACTGCAGAGAAAGCCTTGCCGGCAAAGTTCAATGCGGCTGCCGGACAGAGATGGGCAGCAATGGCTTCTTCCACTAGTGGGGAGTTTAACTTACCCCAATTGGTCAGAGCCATCCACAGAAGAAAGGAGGGAAGATCCCTGATTGTGCACTCGACCGGTGAGCAGTGCGTTCCAAGAATTTGATATTTCATCGTGCACCTTGGGTGAAAAAGGGGCCGGGTCTCCGCAAAGTGTCCTTCCGGCTGTGGTCCGACTTGAGGTACCATTCGTCCAGACAGCTTCTGGCTGGCTTGGCAGGAGGCGCCCACTCTAAACCGAGCTCATCAACTGCCTTGGACAGGACGTGTAGGAGCTCTACATTACTATGATGGAGGTCCCCTGCGTCGCTGTCGTGGGGCGCAGTATAATCCAGCGGGCTGTTGGACCACTCATCCTTCGCAGACGCTGCCACCGAAATAGCATCTTCCTCATCCTCAAGTGCCCTCCATAGTGCCGAAGGACACCACATATTGCGCGTCAGGAGAGGGACGAAGATCAGTGGTCATGAAGCGCACTGGAAAGGAACCTGCAGCAGGGGGTGAGGGGAGTGTGGGCACTGAGGCAAAGCGAGCTTGTCACCTGACAGATCCACATCAGAAGCTCGTGGTACTTTCCTCATCGGACCGAAAGAGGCTGTAGAGGAAGAGCACAGCAGGGCAAAGAACGATATTTGGCTTTGACTAAACAACAAGTAAATGGGATATTCATCAGCACAACTGTATATTTGGCTTGCTTTTATCTCGTGTCTGTGAAACTATCTGTACTTTTTGATGGACAGAACCATTCATAGAGACTGCTGTTTTTTATTATGGTATGACCGATTTCAGATTCACCCACCTCTAAACAGCACATAAGAGCAAGTTTCTTCCTGTCTAAGTGGGTTGTTCCTGGCCATAATAAAGCTGTAAAGTGGGCCAGTCAAAATACTGGCCTGACCCTGACAGATCCATATCAGAAGCTCGTGGCACTTTCCTCCTCAGCTCGAAAGAGGCTGTAGAGTAAGAGCACGGCAGGGTTTGTTGGGCGAGTTCATCACCTTGGACGATGGCCAAGATGATGGTCATCAGAAGGTTTGATTGGCTCTGCGCAGGAGAGGCAATCGCAAGAGGTCATCCTTGTCTGAAGCTCACCGGAACACAGCAGGGGAAGAGTAGGCATTGTCCACTGCAGCGTGTAGATCACGGTGATTAGTCTTTGATGATAGGCTTCCTGCAGAAGGTTGGCTGAAGGAAAAGATTCTGAATGGATGACGTCCAAGCATTGCCTTATTTAGCGAGGGAAGCCCCCTCTATATTTCACGCGCTTAAACGCCATTGACCAGTGTAACTGGCGTGATTCAATAAGGTTTCAGTAGTATTTGGAGGAAGGAGTTTCCCCATAAAGCATTATCAAATGCAATGTTGAAGTGAACAAATCAAAAGGGAACAAATTATCGCTGTATGGCGCAAACCTGATGCCCAGAAAGTGAGCATGGTCTTGAGTCTCTCGAACCTTTTCATTATGAACAGAACACTAGACTTGTTTACCTTTATAACTCTGAGAGTATGTTTACATGCACAGCTATAATCGAGTTACAGCAGGGGTTTTTTGTTTTGTTTAGTTTTTTTGCTTAATCGAGCTATAGTGTTCATCTGTCTAAGTATACGTGACAAAAATTGGGTAACTGAATATATGAAGGATCTTCTGAAGCAAGCACACAAGACCAAGGCCGATTGTAGTTCAATTAATGTATACATTACCACTGGGGTCAGTAAGTAATTGTTTTTTTTTTTTTGTTTTTTTTTAATTAACACTTAATTAATGCAAGGATGCATTAAATTTATCAAAAGTGACAGTGAAGACATTTATAATGTTACAAATTATTTATATTCTAAATATTCTAAATACTTTTTAGAACTTATTGAAGAACCCTGAAAAAAATTATCAGTTTACACAAAAATATAAAGCAGTACAACTATTTTCAACATTGATAATAAGAAATGTTTTACTTGAGCCCCAAATTAGCAAATTACAATGATTTTTGAAGGATCATACGACACTGGAGTAACGGCTGCTGAAAATCAGCTTTGCCATCACAGGAATAAATCACATTTTAAAAAATATTTAAAAAGAAAATGGTTGTTATAAAACTTTAATATTTCATAAAATTACTGTTTTTACTGAATTATTGACCGAATAAATGCAGTCTTTGAGCATAAGAGACATCTTTCAAAAACATTAAAACATCTTACTGACCCCAAAAATCTGATTTTAGTCGGACTTTAAACTTTCATATGACATATCAAAAAAAGACAAAATTACTGTTTCAATCAAACAGAATTAGAACGATATTTGGCTTTGGCTAAATAACAAGTAAATGGGATATTCATCAGCACAACTGTATATTTGGCTTGCTATTAACTCATGTCTGTGAAACTTATCTGTACTTTTTGACAGACAGAACCATTCATAGAGACTGCTTTTTTTTATTATGGTATGACCAATTTCAGATTCACCCACCTCTAAAGAGCACATAAGAGCAAGTTTCTTTCTGTCTAAGTGGGTTGTTCCTGGCCAGAATAAAGCTGTAAAGTGGACCAGTCAAAATATTGCCTCAGCAAGACTCACTTAATGCTTAAATGAACAAGATACAGCACATTACTGAGTATGCACTCAATGTGCAATTTGCAGATTTCTCTTAAAATGGCAGTGTGTAGACAAGAATGATATGTAATAACTGTTTTACAAGACACAACTGGGGTAAACAAAATATGCTATGATATCTGGTACATAATTAATGTACAAGATGTCATTTACACAAGTAGGACATTTTCCTGAATCAACATTCTTTACAGAAATGAGTCCAATCAACCAGTCATCACCTGCTAATTTTAGGCATTAATTTAGCATTACAGAAAGAGTGAGATCTATGATCGCCTGAAAGGAACGTTGTTCCAAGGACAACAAAGGTAGTCCATCCAGGAAAATGTCACACTCGTGGTAAGCAGAACAAATATTTGAGTGTTTGAGTTATGATAAAGCCAGCAACCACTGATTAAAAATTGTTAACATGCTATACATTTCTTTAGAGTGTTTGCAGTTTTGTGACAAGTTATAACTGATTATTGATAATTTATTTCATCATAAACTCACGTGAAGTTTAACTTTTAACATCCCGTCAAAAAACCTTAAAGTGGTAGTTCAATGAAAAAAAAAAAGAAAATTCTCTCATTATTTCCTCACCTCTCAGAATTCATTAAAAATATCTTCATTTTTGTTTCGAAGTCACATGGTTGTGGAACAACATGAGGGTGAGTAAATTGATAAATTTTCTATTTTTGGGTGAACTATCCCTTTAAGCTAATATTTCCTGCCATTTCTAAGATTTTACAACTGATTTTCTACATTAAATTGTAGGGATGTAACAATTCACTCAACTCACGATTCGATTCACGATTTTGATTTCACGATTCGATTCGATTCACGGTTATTATAATTTTTTTTAACAAAATTAGATTTAAGACAAATTATAAATTAAATGTGTCCTTTTATTATTGCTTGGACAAAATGCTGCACATTTCTTTGTGAAATTGAAATATAAATCTTATCAAAAAAAAAAAAAGTTCACCCACTTGTCCTGTCCATACCTTCATGGCTTCTTTTTTTTTTTAATGGAACACATGGTTTATCAGAATGTCAGAGATGCATGTTCCATATAATGAAAGTGAATGGTGACCAAGCGCTATTAAGTGCCCAAAATAACACATTTTCAAAAAAATCATACACTATACGAATCATACACTATATTCAAAGTTTTTTAAAACCATATAACAGCTTAGTGCAAGAAACAGACTAAAATTTCAATTATGACAGATAATTTTGCTTGACAGCCATGGTCACTATTCACTTTGATTATATGGAAAAGAGCAGCAGCAATCTTCTAAATGTTCATTTATGTCCCACAGAAGAAAATTCATATACTGTAGGTGGTGAAAGTCATACAGGCAAAGAAAATGAAACTTTGAACTCTTTTATTTTTTAAACACTAACATATATGCAAACTGAACAAGTTGTCCTGTTATCTCCAATCCCCAATAACTGTTTATTTCTCTTCCTCATTTCCACTTCCAAATTCTCATCCATCTCTTGTTATCTCCCTCAACTCTCTCTCCTCCCTATAACCTCTCCTGATTTCAGCTTTCACCGTGTGCCGTTAGCTTTACTGATTGTGTGCCGGTCCTCAATAAGAACACGTCCCCTGGTGAACTTCCCAGGCTGGGGCTCTGAAAGCTAAACCACTGGAGTAAGTGCAGCATGGCTTCACCTAAATAGGAGATGACAATCATTCTGCACTCTGTAGCAGATACCCGGTTTCCCCTAGCAGCTGCAAATTGGCCAAATCGGCACCTCGGCAAACTAGCCTCAGCTCAGTGCATCCCGCGAGACCGTCGGGCTATTTCACCATGAAAAATGAATGCGAGGGAGGAAAGGATGGAGGAGAGGAAAAGAACAGAAGGAATGTGTTGTCTGATTTATCAGCCCTGACAACACATTTGTTTCCCCCTTTTGTAAACAACTAGCCACCTATAAAGCCTAGAGAGGTTTAGAGGGAAACAGGAAATAAAAACGAGGCAGACGGCTCACCAAGGACACACACAGATACACTCGTCTCACTACACTGACATTTTGGGAGAGTTTTGGGTGCCTTGATGATGCGATCAAGTTGACATGCACGTTGTTAGCCAGATAGCGAGAAATGACTCACAGCAGGGTGATGATGGGGCGGGCGCCACACCGTCTGAGTGGATTTATCATGATGAGTTCTTCTCTCACCTTTGACCCCTGACTTCTGCTGATGACATTGACATCTCACTGGCTGAAAGAAAAAGAATCAAAGCAATGTGTGCAAATCAAATTATTCTAAATATGAGTAGTTTGAATGTCTTATCCATTCAAAACTTGCTCCCATAATGCTAGAGTGCTGTGAGTAGTTTCCAGGGCATTGTTAGTAGAGAGAACTCGATCATTATTGTTTTTTTCTCACCAATAACCAGGGTTTGAAATTAACTTTTTCACTCACCAGCCAATTTGGCTACTACATTTTTAAGTTACCGGCCATTCATAATTTCTACTAGCCAAAAAAATTAAACAAATAAATTATGAAAAAAAGGCCAGAGGTAAGCCAACAGCTTAAGGCTGTCCACGCTGGATGCGACAAAGTGACCATTGCAAATCATTTGTACTTTGTAAAACAGTAGGGGTGAACTATCCCTTTAAGAACTTTATACTATTTGTAAATGGAAAACACCTCATTTATAAGTGTCTCTAAATTACAGAGACACTGGTTTTTATCTTTAATCAGGCTCTTGCTGAATTAACATTTTACTTAAATTAAAATGAATTAGAATGAAACATTTAAAGATAAATAAGCTATTAAAGTTTGTTTACATTGCAGTTTGTTTACATGCATTTTACCTTGTCGTGGCTGTTTTCAGGCAGAACCTTTAATGTTGTCATATCACACAACTGTATAACACAATTCGGTGTCATTTCTGAATGGATTTGTGCTGTTTATCTCTTATAAATCGTGGCGGAAGCGCAGCGCTGTGCGGGAGACAGATCCCGCTCTGCTTTAACGTGCGGCTGGCGGATGCACCTGGTAGCGCCGCTTCACACTTTTGGAGTACTTGCTTTTTGCAGTTTCGCGTGGGCTGTAATTTAAAAACAGCGCCTAATATGAGGTCTCCCTCGCTTCGGCGATCGATCCACCGGGAATGTCCCGGTGCTCCCGATGGCCAGTAGCTACATAGCTGGGTATGTTCAAGTAAGCTAGATGCCCAGATGCTGCGCAATTAGGCTTATTTAATATATCATGATGTGTCTCGAGTTCAGTATTTACACTAAATCTGTGCAGATTTGGCTTACATGAACTTCCTCAAGAAATGAATTAGTAAACATAATTTACGAAAAGTAACCCGCCAAATTGGCTAGTGATTTGACAGCGTTACCCGCCACAGCTGATTTTTGCATTTGGCGGGTTGGCGGGTGTTCATTTCAAACCCTGCCAATAACCATACCAAATTTTTATGTTAGCAAATTTATAGTGTTCTGATAACCAATTTTAGGAACTGATAGTTTAATTATCGTTTTATTTTTGACTGACATGGCATAACTAAAAAAAAAAACATTAAAGTACAATAAAAACAATGCATTATGAATTTATAACAATAATAAAAATAATAATAAAGTTGAATACATTATTCATAATAAATTATTTTTGTCATATCTATGCAAAGTAGTTTCGCAATCAAAATTTTCTTAGAACTATTTTTTTGGTTTTATTTTTGACAAGTGACAACTAAAAATCATTAAACAACAATGCATTATGAATTATTATAATTAATACTAATAATAATAAAATAATTTAAATATAAATAAATTAATAAATTAAAATAAAGCCATTTATTATTATTATTATTATAAATGGTGTAATACATTATTCCTAATAAATCATTATTTTTATATTTACGCAAAGTTTTGCGATCTAAATTTTCTTAGAACCGTTAAAACATTTTTTTAAACTATTTAAACAGAAAACTCTGAAATCAGGTTGTTAGTAACAGCACCTCTCCTAAACAAGCCACACAATTTGAGGTATCATTCATGGCAGTAGCACAAGAAGTGAGGGAGAGTTTAAATTCCCTAACCAATGTATAAGTAATACTGATCCTTGCCTTAACCACCACTAATAACATACTCTTGTTCTAATGTAAAGAAATCTAAATTGCTTTCATCTTTGCTTTGCAATCAGCATAATGCAAAAGAGGTGAGCAAGTTTATTAGTGCTAGTGATATAATTGCTTACTGAAGGTGACAGTAATTGGGATTAAAGGTTAAAGTGCACCATTCGCTGTTTTTATGGCTTGGAACGGTGAAGTTAATGAACATTATGAGATGTGGGTTTGTTCTGAGAACATCTTGTCCTGATTTATTGATTTATCTTATTCATGCAGACATGGAGTTAGCATGACTTTAGTATCTTCTAGCAGACACTCCAGGCTCTGATTAGCCACTCATGTATTATGTATTTTCAATTAGGCCTGTCGCGATAATTAAATAACCGTCTAATCGCGATTATTTGATCTAACTGCGGTTGTTTCAGACAATCGCGATTATTGTGCTTTTTATACAAGACAAGGGGGAGTCATACACCAAAAGAAACAGAAGAGCACCAGTTTGCTTTTCATGCACTGTATAGCCTATATCATCTGAAGCCATTCCATAGCTTAATGTGAGGGACGCAATTGTATTTACATTGTTAAATTTAAGTTTACAGAAACTCATCTTCCTTCTGCTGCAGCTGTCAGTTATTCTCCGCTCAGCATTCAAACAGCACGTCACGTTCAGTTATGACAGTCAGCACGGTAAAACTCTCTCTCCAAGATTATATATTCCCATTATAATACTTGATGTGTAGATAAAGGTCTGGGGATTCGCATAAAATGACATCTTGCTGGAGTTCATGACTCATTTCTAGGGCGCGATGCGGAAAACGTGGACGGAATCGCGGAATCCAGTCATAAAAACATAATTCACAGTTAAACGCGGAATGTCACGGAATTTGTCCAATTTTGAATGAATTAATCAAAAGTAGGTCATTACACTTAAATCAAATCGTGATATGGACTAGTATCTGTAAATATTAAGAATTTGGAAAAAAATTTAACTGAATTTAGGAAAAAATAAAACGGATTTCATAAGGCCCTACATTTCTCTTCTCTTTGTTTGTACGTGTGGAGTGCATGTTGCTTCAAGCACATCATTCTGCACCCTAGATGTGCATAAGCACTGTGACTCCATGTTGCTTCAAGTGCATCATTCTGCACCCTGGATAAAAGCTTTGTGCTGCTCTGTTTGAAGCGTTTCACAATATCAAAATTTTGCACACAGAAAGATTATTAGAAGCCTTTCTTTTTCTCATGAATGTATTTTGTAAGAATACAAATAGTTAACAGAACAAACATGTTTAAATTGTATAATGTGCACAAAAGATTTTCTTGCAAGATTTTTTTTGCTGCCAAATTATACAGACAGCTAGTTTAATTTCATAGCTTATATATTTTTATTCAAATTTAGTTTTTCTCTTTAATGAGGAAGTGAGTATTTAGTGGATTGTGTTTAACAAAGGGTTTAAAAAAAAGAGTGACCATTAGTTCCACAAAGACAGTATTGATATTCTGTAGTGGTGTCGAAAAAAAATAGAGCTGGTGTTGGATATTGGCCGATTCTTAGAATTTGGAATACTCTATGTAATCTTACACTGCAAAATAATAACTCAAAAAAGATTAAACGATAACATCATAATTATTTACTGAACCCTTAAATTAATCATAATTATATAATGAAAGCCATAAAAATCAGACAATTAATCGTGATAATCGGCATAATCGCCAAAGCCCTAAAACAGACAATTAATCACAATAACCGTGACTATTTTTAGACAATTAATCGTCAGCCAAATTTCATAATCGTGACATTAATTAACCTATTTTCAATCAATAAAAATGAGCACAAGTGTGAATGTGTCAGGAATGGCGATGGCTCACAGATTGTTGATGCTGTTGATGAGTGAGCCGTGTAATGATTTTATCTTTATTTTTCAGCTCTTCCCTGAGATGCGCCACCTCCTTCATCAGTTCTTCCATCTGGCACACACAAATACAAAACAAATACTAAAATCATACACAAAAAATATTAGATTGTATACATATAAATAACACAAGTGTACAGAAGGAAAAAGGGGTGCATAGAGCTGTTGGCGTCAATTTATAGACCAAAACGCAAGACTAATTCACCATGGGTTCCCTCTGGAATTACTAATGGCTTTTTACAATAGCAGTTTGCAATTTATGAATATAATAAGGTCTGTGGTAAACATTACATCAGATATATTAAAGCTTCATTCTACCTCATAAATTACACACAACTCAAATGTAAATTATGAAACAGTGTGCTTTAAAAACACAAGCTACTAACACTAGGAACCTCATGCACTTATAGTTTTAGCCTTTATGTAGCAACTTGCTCGCAACATGCATTTTTAACAGCTTCAAAGTTTATGTTTTAAGATATGAATGCGTGTAATTTATGCTATAGAACAAACTGGGACAATTTCTTCCAGTATAAGCATTTAGAATTTGAAAACCACATTTATAGATACACATTAGAAATTCCTGAGGGAGCCCATGGCTTGAAAATGCCAATGTTCTTTTTCAGGGTTTAGGACAGCAAGATGAACAGCTCTATTCAGGTGGGTGTTTATGGGATGTTACAGACCTGCTGGGCTCTGCTGTCATCTTCTCTGGAATCCAAACTCTCTGGAGTAATCTCACCATCATCCATCTACATAAAATTACAATTTATTAAGGAGTTAAAATGCTCATGTTTACAACTTATCCGGTTCTTTTATTCTTTCCTTCTTTTTGTTTTAGCCCTACACACATACTAAAAGCTGCTCAGAGGGTAACAGCTGGGTTTGCATATGTAAGTGCAAATTTGACTCTTCCAGCTGTGTGTGTGTGGTACCTGCAACAGACTCTTAAGTTTGAGCAGCTGTGATTTGACAGATGAGCAGTCCTCCGTCATGTGCTTGAGAGTGAGTTCATCTAGCGCCACCGTGTGACTGTCATGCTGAACTGCAGGATGGAAGGGCCGATGGCCTGTATGACAGGCATCATAACGAAACCCAGCCAGCCTAAAGTAAGAGAGAGTTCAGATTTAATATAATTTATAGAAAGAAAAAAAAGAAAAAGAAACAAAAATCAGCATCAAAGCATTAAAGCAAAACTTTCTTGATCTTTGAAACCAAAAGTGATGAAAACAAACTTTCAGAAGTCAAAACTTTCTCTCCAGTTCAAAAAGACTGCAAAATCAGCCAAATTCCAAACTTCATGATGTCAACCAGAATGCACAGACTACTTAGTAGTCAGATGACTATTTACACATCAACAACGTCTATTCAATGTTCTGGAAATTGGCATTATTATTTCTAAATCACCAGAAGATATTTTTATTCCTGTATATATCTGGCAATTAAAGTTTCTTTAATTAATGTGGCTGAAGTTTATTTTTAACAACGTCTCTCATATCAACATTCTGACTTCTGTTTCATCACTCTGACTAACATGTGTGACATATTTCGGTGCAGTTGCTTTGTTAACTTGTCACAATCTACACTACCGTTCAAAAGTTTGGGGTTTTTATGTAATTTTTGAAATAATTAATACTTTTATTCAGCAAGGATGCATTAAATTAACCAAAACTGACAGTAAATACATTTATAATGTGGCAAAAGACTTCTATTTAAATTAATGCTGCTGATAATACATTGATAATAATCATGTTTCTTGAGCACCAAATCAGCATATTAGAATGATTTCTGGCAATATGACACTGAAGATCGGAATTATGGCTGCTGGGTATAGTTTTGCAGCCACAGAAATAAATTACATTTTTAAATATATTAAAATAGAAAACAGCTATTTTAAATAGTTATATTTCATAATAGTACTTTTTTAACTTTCAAATAAATGCAGCCTTGGTGAGCACAAGACACTGCTTTCAAAAATATTTTAAAAATGTTACAGACCCCAAACTTTTAAACAGCTGTTCATGAAAGTTGGTGCAGCACAAATTATAATGAATTATAATGCACTATAATGAAAATTTCATTCTGAGGGTCAGAGATAGGGTAAAAAATGATAATAAAAAAATTTACTATATTAAATTAACTATTAATAATGTTGCTGATGCAAAAAAAAAAAAAAAAAACTATTATGAATGGATCTCAGAGCAAAAGAAATATTAAGAGATTTAATATAATATAATTAAAATAATTAACCCTGTATTATACATTTTACAGTTCTACTCCTGGATGCTATATATAGTATTCCACTTAGACTAAAATATAATTTATCGTAAATATATAATAATAAGGGTTGGGTATCGTTTGAATTTTATCGATTCCGATAAGATAAAAAAAATCCATTAAACAAATTTGAAGTCAAATATTTAGATGTCAAACATATTTATTCTGTTTTATGTCTATGGTTTTATCAAAAAATACCACAGAAAAAAACAACTAAATTTCAAACATTAAATTGTTAAAGACAAGTAAACAAATTAATTAGCAATAGCATAAATAAATAAAACTGAACAAATGTCAGGTACAGAAATTGAAATCAAAAGTTTAAATACACTGTATAGTTTTTTTTCATAAATAAAATATTGATTAATCCTCATTAAATTACGAAAGATATTCAGTCAGTTAATGATTTTCTTTTGTTCTTTGATTAACATTAATGATAGGGCAGCATGTTTATTAGACGGCTGTCTCTTTAACACCGAACACACAGAGCGAAAAATACTGTTACACATGCGTTTTCTTTCTCATCTGTTTACGTTCACTTAAGACAAAAAAACGGCTGTGTTTATGATGATATACCGACGTATTTCGTGCATACTGGTCGATAAATGTGAAGAGAAGTCAGTTCTGGCCCGGAACAACCTTTGTGGAAATGCACGCAACAGTTCGAGAACAGACACAGGTCGGGAACCTGCATCGGGACCACTGTTCTCTGTGCTCGCGCTTCAGATGTGTGCGCTGCACGCAAACAGTGTGCAAGTTCTTTCCCTTCCTGCACTTAAATAGCTTAAAATCACATTAAAATGTGAATGCGGGAATCGTTAGGCGGAATCGAAATGCACATGTCTTATCGAATACCCGATTATTGGAAATTTGGAACCGGTTCTAAAATGGAACCGGTTTTCGATACCCAACCCTAATAATAATATATAATAGTATACTTTTAAAAAATAAAAATATAAACCCTAACAGCCACCTATGTGAAACCGCTCTTGATTGCGGTATGTAACACCCACTTTTCATAATCCAATGAATTCCTGTTCTACATTTTTACTATCATGTTTAATTAGGAAATGTGTGTTCCAAGGCATTCACCTGTTGTCATTATGAGCATGATCCATTCCACTCCATCTCTGTTGTCTCCTCCTCCATTGAGTCGGCCGGCCTCCCCTGTCAGAGCGCTCGAAGTGGGCCATCCTATCTGCATGCACAGAGGGGTCAACAGCAGTCAATGACAAATAAACAAATGCACTGAACAACCGCCCACAACCCAATTCACTTTTAAACACACAATTCAGTTAGTCTCCAAGAAACACTCAGATACAGACACACACTCCTTGGAAAAAGAAGGTCATCTTTCTCTGGGAGGTTGAGCTCTTAAGAGTTTCGATACAAAGCATTCACACCGCCCGAGGCGAGATATCAGGGCAAACTTACACGAACACACTCTGAGGCATACGAAATCTCTCTGTCTCACACACACACACACACACAAGCACTCTTTCAATCTTTCTATACACTTCTAGCACAGAATAAGACAGTAAGAAGAACAGACAGAAAACTAAGCTCCAAAACAGACCTGCTACATTCCTCTTGTCCTTGCTGTCTGGTTCACTGCCAGAGACTCAAAAACAGACTCGAAAAACAGTCCAAAACTCACCCACACGAATACAAATAACCTTAGAACTAAGAGCAGAGATGGTCTGTTTTGACTGACACATCCAAAAGAAAAGTTTGAAATGCAGCTGGACAAAAATTCCCCAAAGTTAAAAATTCCAAAGTTGTGTGGTGTATAACTCCAAAACAAAAGTACGTACAAAACTTTCAAAAATTGACCAAATTCCTATGACTTTCTCACTGGCCAGCCGAGCATCTGCGAATCCAATAACTTTTCCGCCCTGTTAAAACGTGGGTGAGTTTGTGAGTTCTGGGAACTCCCTGGGAGATTTGACCAGAACCAGACACATACAGAGACACACAGCTGTAATCCCTGAGCCGTGGGACCTTCAGAAGAGAAGGGGAACTGATGGTAGTGCTCTCGACCGAAGTCGGCACAGCCCTAGGGCAGGGTCTCCACTCTGGTCACAGGAACTAGTGTCAAAACAGCAGGACTTCCTGCCTGCCAAGTGGACGGATCAACCATGGAAGGAATGAAGGAGGGAAGGAGACAGACAGACAGGGAGGGGAGAGACAAGGGGGAGGGGATTCTGAAGTCATCTATTCCCTCCTCTGGCTCTTTCTGGCTCTGCAACCCCCTTCACATGACTGCAGGGCATGATGCCTGGGGTTATAAATACAACACACACACACGCGCATACCACACACATACACAGCACTGTAAAACTGACTGATTCCTACTGATGGCTCAGGCCAAAATACTGAAAGTAAACATGACAAAACTCAAAAGCCAAGCAAAAATACACCAATGCTCATAAGAAACATTTTTTTAAACATCTGAGCTAACAAACAGCTGAAAGAACGGTCCCAAACAAGAAGGGATTGTGCTCGTCATTCCTGCACTCATTCACTGAAATGTCATCTGTGAAGAGTATGTAATGAAGTGTATTGTTTGCCATTTCTAATGTGGAATTTGTCTACGTACACAAGACTTTGGAATCTGCAGAACCCGTAACCACCCTGTGACCTCACTCGCACACTCTAAAATCACACTTTGAGATTGAAGAAAACAGGAAGCGACATTAGGACATTCTCTTCCAAAACTGAGAGTTTATCTGAGAGTCACTCGGTTGACATTCAGTATTCAGGATTTCTGGCAGGGACTGTCTTGAATAGTAACTCATTCATGACAGGCAAGTAACACAGGCACTATTGTATGTCTTTACTGTTATATATTTGAATTTGTTTAACAGTATGTGCCATTACAGGACAGTTAGTGCAATATAGCAATATACACTTCCGTTCAAATGTTTGGGTTCGGTAAGATTTTATGTTTAAGAGTATTAATTTATATATTTTTTAAAACTGTTGAACTGTAGTGTATAATGTTGCATTAATGACTAATTTATGTTTTTTTGACAGTATTTGGCAATTGACATGCAAAGTCAAGCAGTGACAGCAGTGTCTTTCAGTGTAACTTGCAAAACTTAGTCTAACACTACTTTAGGTATTTTTTTTCTATTTTTTTTCTAATTCTTGATCATTATTATGCATGCATTTAATGTCCTCAAATTAACTGAAAGACTAAATTTAAAAAAATTATACATTTAATATTAATATTTAAATAATTATATATTTATACATTTAAAAATTAATGTCACATTACAGCACTATTAAATTAACTGCACAGAAGCCAAGAGGTGAATAAAAATGGAAAATAACTTAAAATTAGGGCTGAACGATTAATTGCATTTGCGATAATATCGCGATATGAAATAACGTGATTTTTCAATCGCAGAGGCTGCGATTACACGGTCACGTGACACGCGAGAGTAAAGAGGGGTGTTCGACTTGAAGATCAGATCGGAGTATGACATCAAAGTAAGGCGAGAGAAAGCTTAATGAGACGTCCGCGCTCTCTTATAGCTCTCGCAGTACTTTGATGACACACACCCATCGGTCTAAGCAGCGCTGCTTCAAGTCGAGCGCGGGCCATCAGCAGAAAAAGAAAATAAATAAAACAGTAAACAGCCAAAGGACGTAACTTAGAATGGGAGATGGATCGGTTTGTGAAAGGGAAGCTTTAAAAAAAATAATTGCATATTAAATCGCAATCGCAATATTAATAAAAAAAATCGCAATTTGATTATTTTCCAAAATCGTTCAGCCCTACTTAAAATACTTACACATTCATATGAAATAGGTATTTTGACCTAATATTTTAGGTTAATTTACTATAATGTTTTGCTGGGGGAAAAAGAAACCATATAAGCTTTAACTCATGATTCATCCATCAAACATATAAAAAAACAAAGCTCCAAACAGCCAACAGTCATATAATAAATAATCCAGAAAAAGCCCTTCCCACACTGTCTTGAAAAATAATACACTAGCTTTTGGAAAAGAAGTCCTGGGTTCTGGGTTAGCCAGTCATGTCAGATCTCTACAACACTTTACATTCCACAAAACATGAATTCAAATACAAAATGATATATTAAATCCAACTGAATTAATGATATACTGAATTCAATCTCTTCATCACATTAAATTAATTCAAATCACGCCGAGCTGAAGGAAACTCTGACATGGCCATCCGTACAAAAGTCATTCACATTCAAAATAGTGATTATCACTTGCACTTGGCTGTGATCTATCAACATAATGATTAAAACTGATCAACTATCATTATATATGCAAACGGAAGATTAATTAATAGATCAAAGATAAACGCAAGGATGATTATATTAGAAATTTAATTCAAGTGGACTATTGTGGTTACAAAGGTAAATAGCTGATGATAAACTCCTGTACTGGTGTTCAAAAGAATAAGAGAGACATTTATTTATTTATTAAGTAATGTATTAACCAGATTTCCAAGTTTTGAGAAAACTGATGCAGGTGTGATTCTATTAAACTTTTCATATCTGTAAGCACTTTAGACATCAAACAGAAGGCAGCTTTGGCTTATTGAATGATTGCTGGTTATACTACTCAATTACACTGTATGTTTGTGTGTACTAACCACTGAGTAAGGCCCTGTCCTCTGACAGATCCACATCAAGCATGAGGTCATCATCTTCCAGGTCACATGAGCCAGTGTTATCCAAGTTGTTCAGAATGTCCTGTGCATGAGAAACAACAAATGAGAGAGAGTGTGTTTAATAGAGATGGAAAAATGCATTACATTTACCAGAAAAGACATTTGTGGTAATTCACTCACACTCTTTATGTAAGGACAATCGCATAAAAGAAAGGGAATAAAATAGATACAGCCACCAAAAGCTACATGAATACAAACTAAATGTTTTTCGCTTAACATGAAGAGCATATACAGTGGGTACGGAAAGTATTCAGACCCCCTTAAATTTTTCACTCTTTGTTATATTGCAGCCATTTGCTAAAATCATTTAAGTTAATTTTTTTTCCTCATTAATGTACACACAGCACCCCATATTGACAGAAAAACACAGAATTGTTGACATCTTTGCAGATTTATTAAAAAAGAAAAACTGAAAAATGCTCAGTATTTAGTAGAAGCACCCTCTTGATCTAATACAGCCAGGGAAAAAAATTAACTTAAATGATTTTAGCAAATGGCTGCAATATAACAAAGAGTGAAAAATTTAAGGGGGTCTGAATACTTTCCGTACCCACTGTATATAAAAACGACGACTTCTCGGGCCATCTGATTATTCGAAAATCCAAAAGCACACCAAGGTGAAAATCAATATGCCTCAACAAAACCTCAATTTGTCCTCAGACAGAAAATGAAAGAGGACATTTCAAGCTGTGTGGCAGACGCACAAGGGGCAGTTATCAGCTATTGCGGTGCTGTTTAATGCATTTTAAAGCGATTCTGAACATCAAGTCTGGCACGGAGAGTTCAAAAGAAAATAAGCTCTTTGAAGAAAGATGTTCTCCCATTTCTATGTGCTAAAAGATGGCAAGAAATACCATAAAACAAGGCCTCACGGCTTAGCCTTGATTTGGACAACGCAAAGAAATTACTCTGATGTGGCTCATCTTAAAAGTGTGTTTCTCAAGAACCGCTCTGAACTGATTTCAAGGTTGGGAGTAAAATTTGAGAGCAGGAGTGTCTTAAAGGCCTGGAACCAATTGAAAGGATATTTAGCTCATTTATTTCATGATTCATCATTTCCAAAACATACAAAAAATACTGCATGGCACTATCAGGGGTTAAAGCAAAAAAAAATCCTGAGCCTGAACTTTTTTCCGGGGGTTGCGAGATGAGACAAAATGCATATACTTGGTTCAATAGAACGAGACAATGTTTTAATACTTTAAGAAATATTTGAATGACAAAATATTTGTCTTTTAATTACAAAAAGTACAATGCCGTTATATTTTGAAATGTTTTAACAAATCTAGGGCTTAACTAATAATTATTTTGCTAATCAAGTAATCTACTGATTATTTTGACAAGTATGTTTTAGTAATACAAACAGAACTAAGTGAAAAACAGGCTTTAATATGACTATATTTATATATAAACTAATGATGAGGCAATAATAATTGGCTCAAATAAAGTATCAAAACCAAGTACATGGTTTTATTGAACAACTGTTAAATACATAAT